GCTTAGTTTGAGGCTGTATGGCGCTGTGTGTCAGATGTTCGAAATATTATTTTATTATGATTTATTCGGACGCAAAGCTCATAAATATAAAAGATTGTCGTGTTAGTTATACCATTTATAACACAAGAACGGCAAGACCAATTAGAATGGGATAGGATAGGAATAGGATAATAAGTATTAAAATATGACATTCATCAATAAAAAAATATCATTAAAAAACGTCAGTCAAAACATCAAAAAAAAAAACTTTATTAAAAAAACAGAGTGAACCACTCTGATGTTAAAATCAGATGTTTGCTCTGTTAAAAAATATTTATATACATATACTTATACTTAAGCCTGTCTACCTGGAGGTGTAGGCAGAGACGTATGGAGCACCAACATGTTGCCAACAACCCATAATGACTTACTGACTGAATGTCATGTGTCCCCGTGATAGGGCAGAGGGTGTCCACGGTAATCCTCCATCGCGTTCGGTCTTGAGCTTAGCACTTAACTACTACTTCTACTCCACTATACATCTTGAAGTGGGACATCTTGATGCGTCTTGTAAGTATATCAATGTATTGTCAAGTCTTGAATATATTTTGGTATTTTATTATAAAATCGGACACATTGACCTCGAAACGACTTGTTTATCTTTTGGATCTTATTTATTGTTTGTTCTACAACCAAATGTAAGCCGTTATCAAGATTTTCATGAAATTGAAAAAAGACATGAACGACTGTACAACGTAATCACTAGAAGTAAAACTGTGGGAAGGTCATTATACAATATTTATTTAAGTAGTTACCGTTACCGATGCAATAAATGTGTCACCTCTGTAAAACACTAGTTCTACAAATTCTTAGCAATTTTTCTTAAGAAACTATTTAGGTTATTGTCAGTTAATTATAAATGCTATGAATCCTCCAAGTCACACGATCTACTGTCGGTTTGCCTGTACCAGAAAATATACTTTTAAACTGAATTCGAAACCATAACATGATATATTCTATATTTATGAACCGATTTCAGTTTTTTTTTATTCAACAATTTATTTACTTAAAACTTTATGCACATGTTGTACAAAGGCGGACTTAATGCCATGAGGCTTTCTCTCCCAGTCAACCTTTAGGTGATGTAGAAATATGATGCGGTAGGTGAAAAATAAAATATTACACGAGGTTTTTCCCGTTTAAATTCAAAACAAATATGTTACCTGTAAGGCACATCTTTTTACAATTCATCATAATTTAGGTGGTTTAAGTTCAGTCATTCTAGTCTTATTATTATTAATAATGCTATTATTACTATCGTTCTATTATTATCTTTCCTACATACTGCTTATGACTGACTTTGTATTATGCATTGTATTATGCAGTCCTTATATAATATTTATTATTTACGAGCCTGTTGATTTTGTTGTTTAGCAATCATGACTGATTTCGCTGCCCACCCAAGACATATATTGTGTGGTGAGCCCGACTGACGTTTTATGTCGGGGTATTTAGTAAATTAGTAAAAACACAAAAGCCTCTTTGTTAAATTAGATCGTAATAATCAATCACTAGTAGCGACTTCTATTGATATTCCTAATAAAGTTTATTCTGCCACAAATGGCGTACAAATCTTTTGATGCAGTTTAGAGAGCTTGAGACTGTCATTTAAATAATCATTAACATTATAATAACAATAAACCAATTACAGATAGCAATTTTTTTAATTACTGCAACATGAAATGTTATTATTTAGTGCAATTTAAGTGCAACTCCGGTTCAATATTCGCACGGAGTGAAAGTATTGCTTAATTTCTGTTGACGAGTAAAAGTTAAAATCGGTCAAGTTCAAGTCGAACTTGACATAACAGTTGCGTGCAGTTAATGATCTTTGTTATATTTTTTTTGTTGTTAAGGAAAAAAATATGTTTAATTAAGACGGATGTAGTTTGTGTAAGGTCACTAAAGTGAATCATATTTATAAAGATCTAGGTTTTGCACGTGACTTCATTCATGTTATTAAAATCGTAATAAAATCAATATTTTATCAATCAATTTGGGCTTTAACTTTCGTTATTTCAGACTCAATCTTTAAGTGTACTAAATTATATTTAGATCCGTTTAGCTCTTTTGGCGTGATTGAGTCACAACAACTATTTATAAATTTTTCGTATTTATTCTAACTTTTTTTTATGGAATAGGGGCAAATGAGCAGACGTGTCACCTGATAGAAAGCGACGGAAAAATATATATAAGATATATTTATGGAAACGTGGTGTGAGCAAACCTGTAAATGGGTGTATTTCCGCCAATACCAGAAATCGCTACAGGGTGGCATAACTAGAAAGGGTGATGAAGGTACTCGACTTAGAAAACAAAAACTTGTCTGTGTCCCTGAATAATAATCGTTATTGTTACAAATAACCTTAAACAGTTTCCTTACAGCTACAAATATACAAGGCTTAAAGTAAAGGATCATGTGTTCCTTTCCTATGACCTGGGAGTTAGTGTTCTGTTCTGTTACAGAGACAGATTATAAGTTAGAAATAAATGCGGTGTGAGTAGGTAGTAGGTAGCTGGACCCCTAAACAGTCTTTCTGCAGAAGTTTGATATCGCCGAGTACTTTGGTAAAAGAGCTCTGATGGCAGAAATATCAAAATTCAGCCGTATCGTAGGAGACTTAAAAGCCCACCCCAACCTAGTTTGTGAAAAAGATTTAGAAGAAGAAAGTAGAAAGACATGACAATTCATGATATTCTCAAATTAAATAATTTAAGCAAAATGCCTCATCAAAATACTTGATAGGTCAGGGAGAACAATAGGTATTAAGCAATCTTATATTTGTCATATAATAATCATGCCCAATTAAAAAATATTTGTAAGTGTAAGACAAAAGATTTGCAATCGTCTATTGTTTTACGCAAAAACCGATGGCAATTATTATAAAATGATTAAAGTTTCATTTAATTTACTCTAATTGTAATTTTACAGTATGTTTATACATTATTTGCTAAACGTTTGTTATACCATTTCATTTGGACATGAATATATTAAAAGCTCAATCCGTCAATAAACACAAGTTAATGTATGCATAATACAACTTAAAATCCCTGAATCATTTATACTAGACATGGAAATTATTGCCTATATATACCTATTCATTTGATAAAATAGATGGTTTTGATCACAGTGATTGTGATTTCGTCATAGACAAAGATAAATGCCATTAAAATCAATCAAAATTATTTTGATCAAAGATTACGAGTTAGTCACAGGTGTGATTATATGATTTATAAATCATATGATTTATCTCCATCCTTCATCTATACTAACCCTGAAATAGTCATGTCTCGGCACAAATGATAGGAAAATAGATATAATATAGATATATAGATAGAGAATATAGATATAGATATAATATAGAATAGATAGATAAAGAAGGTGATAAGGAATTCTTTCGTTGATTATATATTTATTTAAAGTTTTATGCACTTTTGTAAATTGCCGTACTTAATGAACAGAAGGACAAGTCTCGTAGTAAAAGTTCGGTCTCAATTCAGTTTCAATCAACTTTCGATCTCACAACTGTCATAAAGGTATTTTTGTAGTAAAATATTAAACATCAAAGAAGACACAACACATTCAACAGACAAAACATTCCGAGAAAAAATAAATATTCATCTATGCAAAATTCACATTGATTTGGTACTCAGTGACGTAAAACAAGGACAAACCAATAAATTCTCAACTTAACGACACACTTTTTCTTTTATATACTAGTTTTTGCCCGAGACTTCGCACGGTCAGAAAATGAGTTATTTATGGTCACCAAAGTTAACAGTCCTAGCTGGTGACCACGACTTGTATATTTTTTCATCAACCTTCAAATCCAACGTTTAAGTTTAATAGTTACTTAAATACTAGGTTACATCGGTACTTTATTTCTCACCAAAAGATACAATACACTCAAAGTACCCATACTTCTATTAATAATATTTTACTTTTATTCTAGCTGTTTGTTTGTTACGCTGTCATGCCTAAACCATTAACCCGATTTTAAAAATTCTTTCACCAATGGTAAGCTAGATTATCAGCGAGTGACATAGGCTACTTTTCATCGCCATAACCGATATACTTGTAATGAATAAACTTAAAAAAAATTAGTTTTTTAAAACTATTTTTTTTAAAATTAGTGTATTGTCATCGGTCCTCGATATATCTACAAAGTTTGAACGAATTCTGACCGTTTAAAGTCAGTCAAAATCACGCCCAAAGGAGTCGGTTACAAACATACAATCAAACATACAAGTGAAGCTAATATAAAGCGTGTAATAATAGGTCTTGTGTACAAATTTTATCATGTACGGGTAGTTACTTTTTTATGATAGACGGATTACGTCACGATGTGTGACTACCACCGACCATGAATTACCATAATGTGACCCGTCAATTCGTTTGCCCCATATTACGTAAAAATTTGATGTACCAGTTGCCTAGACCCTTCTACATCAAGATATTAATGAGTTAATTTGGTTGCCGAATAATGATGAGGTAACAAAGAAAAGTTTGCTCCTTTGCATTATTAATTAAAGCCGAGATCGTAATCAAAACTTCTTTGTCTGGCTACAAAGCACAAACCAAATATAATTATAAAAAACATAACAATTATCAAAAGAACAAAATTTGAATGTTAAATAGTTAAGAAAAATATAATTTAATTACTGCAGTAGTAAAGACAGAAAATGCTCTATCTTGCTTTCTATTCTGATTTGACAATCCATCATCCATCCCAATGTATTCGTATGTGTATGTAAAATATATATATACTTTATGTCTCAAAAACTATTAAGTATATACTGATAACAATATTGGCTACTAGTAAAACATGAATTGTATTATAAAATACATGTAAATGTAGTGTATTTTTCTGCTGATTAGCATGAAGAATAAATTGTGAAGAACAAACTTTAACAGCAAATACTTTTTTTTCAGGAAACAATGGTGCATTATAATTATCGTTATGATAATACAGATGTCCGCGTTTCCACAGCGACCGTCAAATGTCGTTTTTATAATGGTTGATGATATGGTAAGTTTTTCATTTTATAATATCTTCCCGCCCGCTTCACATTGGTGCAATGTAGGACATAACATTTCAAATCTTAGGAATTCTCGAATTTTCTCTACTGTAATATACATGTACAAATTCCCAACCCTATTTTATAACAACCCCATTTAATCACTTATAGGAGTAGTTTTGAATACTTAAAAAAATAGGTCTCTTATTATTATTTTTGATAGAGAATATAATTATACTGAAAGTTTGGTATCGAAAAATAACTCACCTGTACTTCTTTTTAAGAGTAGTTTTGAAACAACGTTTTTTATTAACTTTTAATCAAGAGTATTTACTGTGAGTTTGAAAACGCAATTACCGAAAATAACGAAGTTTTATATAAATTTCCAATCCCCATTTTGCACCCTTGGGGGTGGCATTTTTGAAAATCCTTTCTTATTGCACACCTACGTCATCTAAGGAACATTTTGGTGTTTTGGTTTGGGTGTTTTTTATGTTTAATATGTACGTATTTACAAAAAAAAGTATTTAAGTATTCTATCAGTCAATCTAGCTTTCATAGTACAAGCTCTGTTTAGTTTGAAACTAGATGGCGTTGTGTGTCTGATGTCCCAAATATTATTATCATAGTTTTTGAGTATTTTAGAGTTAGTATTTTAAGTAGTCCATTATTTATATGATAATAACTCTTGCATGTGTTTTAGAAAACTCTTCGTAGTCTCGTTAAAGTAAAGGTTATTTCTTAAATCACTTAAGTTTTCTGGATGAACATAAATATAGGTACGCCATTGTCATTTTCCCATAGCAATATGTACGCAAAATTTCATGATGCATTCAGCAGATAAGACGTAAAAACATTAAAATAAACGCATTTTTGTTATTTTTAATATTTAAATTAAAACCAAGTCTTATCTTTACTTTTATCTCTTACAATCGATGTAAAGTAGTGACCTTAATACATAATAAGTTTGTTGTAAAATAAGTTTTTCCTCATAAATAGATATTTTATAAGTGAATTCTCGAGGCAGTTGTTTTTAACCGACTTCTTTAAGGACCAGCTTACTGTCACACTAAACTATCGAACCAAGACGGAACGAGCAAACATTTTTTTTTTATATATATATATATAATTATGTATAACGTAAGATGCCGAGTGCCGTAGTTCACGGTAAATAAAGACATAACATTAAAAGAAAACAATAGATGGACATAATTAAAGGCAAAACAATAAAACAGAAACAATTAACTAGTCAAACATCCTTATCTTGACATAATTCATGTTTATTTAACAGCAACTGCTAGTGGTTTTGTGCGAACAGTTTCTTCAGAAAATAATCCTACTTAACTCCTCATTCTCAACCGCTTATCTTGATCCCTACATTCGTTTCTTGTCCTCTAATCACGATAGAAATCTTCACTCAACAAATAATTTGCTTCTTCTGTGTCCTTCTCACAACTCCGACTTCACATTAAGATGGAGGAATAAATATTTTATTTGGCGTCTGAAGACCTTTTTGTTTTGTTGGCGTAGTGGAAAATCTTTTCGGATCTCCAGCTCCTTGGGGATGTACGTTTTATATCCGGTAGTATAGAGTGATTTCACTAAAAACCACCCCGACGGTCGGACTCAGGCGCCAAGGATTACCCGGACCACGTTATTTTAGGTCCCCCCCGGCCCTTTTAAGCCCTATCCCGGGGAAGCTCAAGGAGACATAGAGTGGAGACCGCGAATTGGAAAACTCAAGGTCGAACGCCCTTATCCAAGTGGACTGTACAAGATATCTGGGATAAATTGGATACAGAAGGCGTAGGATCGAGTGATGTGGCCTATACCGGGAGACCTATCCCAGACTTTCCTAACACATATTACACTAGCTGACCCGGGTCACTTTGTCTGCGTATCTTAGAAAGAATATGTTTTTTAAGTTTTGTAACATTTTTAATTAACTATTAGTTCCTATTGGTGGTAGCGTGATGTTATATAGTCTTGTTATAACGAATAAATGGGTTATGCTTCACTAAAACAATTTTTTAATTCGTACCAGTAGTTTCTGAGATTAGCGCCTTCGGCTAAACAAACTCAGCTTCAAATTCAGCTTTAAAATATTAGTATAGATGAGTAAATCATTGGAAACATTAATTGATATGATGGTGCCTTGGAAGAAACTCAAGTGCCTGATCTGGCATAGCACTGTTGCCACCAGCTACCTGTAAGACGTTCGTACATGAGTTAAGGCGCAGACTGAATGAAGTGACTGGTGATTCCCGTTCAAGCGCATTCAGCGGGAGCGACCACGGTTGGGTTATTTAATATACAAGTAATTTTAGCTGTATGTCATATATCCTAAATACCGGTACATACCAATATTATAAATAAAAAAAAATGATATAATATATAATGAATGAAAGTAATTTCGTCATAAATATACCTCACTATTACTGCTGTGATCTTCACATCATCAACAGCCTATAATAGTCCACTGCTGGACATAGGCCTCTCCTTATACTGCTGTGATAATTGATTACAATTATTTTAAGTGTAGTTTATTAGAGCGTGTACACCGGTAGCAGACGTTCTTTCTGAAGAGATTGATACATGTATTTTAAATAATTAATTGTACGCAGTTAACAAGTGTTCAATTGTTCGATATTATTATATTCATAAATTCTGTTTTATGAGCTTGAAATACCTACTAGACCGGCACTGTAAAGGATATTTGTCGAAATGATATATCGGAATCGAACCAACTATATCTACATGGTGTGATACAGGCCACTTATATTTATAGTATACTAGCTGACCCGGCAAACGTTGTATTGCAAAACAAAAAAAAATTAGGGATGGGTCACCCTTACCATTTAGGGGTATGAAAAATAGATGTTGGCCGATTCTCAAACCTACCCGATGTGCACACAAAATTTCATGAGAATCGGTCAAGCCGTTTCGGAGGAGTACGGGAACGAACATTGTGACACGAGAATTTTATATATAAGATAACACAGATAAAAATTATTTGCCACGACCCTTCATTAAATCATCTCAGCTGAAAGACGTAAAATGCTGGACATAGGCCGCCCCCAAGACCCCACAACAACCGGTCCTGTGCTGTCCGCATCCAACGGCTTCCCGCGACTTAAACTATGTCATCGGACCTAGGGGGCCTGCCCACGCTCCGTCTTAAATCATCAGCAAATTAAAATAAAAGATTACGCTACAGAAGTAGAGATGAGTTGAATATTTCTTTAGCCGGATCGGATACTGGACATCCAACTTGTCAACGGATAACGGGTAGTTTCCGGATATTCATTTCATCTCTAGTTTAAAGGCTAACTATTGAATTATGTTGCATTAGTAATATTGTTTTAGTATTTAAGAATAAACCATGTGCATTTCATTTAAGATTTCAAATTTTGTATCAACAGGGTTGGAACGACGTGTCATTTCACGGCTCGGATCAAATTCTGACTCCAAACATCGACACGCTGGCATATCAAAGCGTGATACTTCAGCAGTATTACAGCGAAGCCATATGTACACCAGCACGCACTGCTCTGCTAACTGGAAAGTACCCTATGCGTCTAGGTAACTTAATTTATTATTATATAGTATTATTTCATCCCGTATAATTAAATACAGTTACACAATTTTCACTCAAGTAAGAGTTATGCAGTCGAAGGTAAACGGCCAATGAGAGCAGTTGGCCTTCAAACGTATTACAATCAATTTTGTATAGATATTGTAACTTTCACAAAACTATACCAGTTCAATTTGATTTTATTAAGTTTTGTCTACATAAAGGACGCTGTTTAGCTGCGATAAGTATTAAGAAGCGATCTGTTAGCCTTGGAGCAACGATTCAAAATTTAATTATTGAATATTTTTTTACCTAACGTCATGTCAGATTGGTAACATTCGTTTTTATACGTACGTATAAAATGTACAAGACGGAACTTCTCGAGGGAAATGTTGCCCTTACATATATGGTATAGGCCTTACATATTCCGGTCAGTGAAATTTGATCCAAAGCTCGGGTTAGCAAAAAAAAAATGGGATTCGAAACGTAAAAAAGTTTTTTTAAATAGTAATTCTCTATTCAAATCTGTTATTTTACTAAGTTTAAAAAAAAAACACACTTTCCAAGTAAAATAAAAATATGCACCAAAAAAGAAAACTTCGTCGAAAAGGGCTGTCACGGTGACAGTTCAAGGATTTATGTACCTCTACCCTCCATAGATTGATGGTAGGATGTTGGAGTAAATTGGTTTTAGACAGATCATAAAGATTGTCATCTAAACGAAGAACCGCCAATGTTTTTTCTGTGTTACAAATCAAATAATAAAAATATATAAATATTCATACACTTATCTTATGCTTTAAAACTAAAATATTAGTAATAGAATACATTTTTCTAATTAATAAACACACTTATTATAACTACAGATCACCTGGTGTTTTATAGTTTATTAAATTATAAACCTCCTTGTACGAGCTGTAAATATCCAGTATTAGTTGAACTGTTATTGTAAACATTTTCCGTACTATCAGAGGTGAATTATAGTATAGTTGACATTTATAACACATAATTATTTTTTCACATTCCACCGTTTGCGAATTTATTTGGAAACAGTGGTATAAAGAATTATATTCACATATTACTGTAAAATATAAAAAATGCAATATTCATAATATGAAGAACTTTTACACAGATACTATCTGACCCGGCAAACGTTGTTTTGCCAAATACATCATTTCAAAATTTTTGTCAAAAAAAAAAATGGGTGTATGAAAAATAGATTTTGGCCGATTCTCAGACCTACCCGATTGCACACAAAATTTCACTAAAATCGGTAGAGCCGTTTCGGAGGAGTTCAACCACGCACACCGTGACACGAGAATTTTATATATTAGATATTCTGATTTCGCATTTCATGGAACTGAATTTAGTTTATCTCTAAATCATAGCTATTATTAAGACTAGAATATGGCTAATTATGGCAAAATAAGTTATGCTGGGCTGATATTGTAATATATAATGTAATGTGTTGTATTGAAATGTTAATTTCATGTAGTTGTAATTGTACTTTTATGAATAGGTAATTAAGTTGTGAACCATTATGTACATTGTAAGTTTATTGACTTTATTTATGGAGTTGTCTTCTAATCTTTATAAACATAAAATTTCTTATTCTACTTCTTCACATCTTCTTACTGTAACACAATCTAAATTAAATAATATCAGTCCCTAACACAGTTACAGTTTATAGGTACGTAGTCAAAAGCATTCGCATTCATTTCTTTTTAGAAAAGTATTTTCTTAAAGCATTTTGTTTAAAAGAAACATATTTACATTATTTTTTTTTACAAGACGCTTTAAGTAACGTGTTGTGTCTAGTGAATACTGAAAGACGGGACATTAAACAGATCTTAGAGATGGTTTTGAATGCGTGGTGCATAGCTAAGGACTTCGTCAATTACTGTTAGTACCTTCCACTTTGTGGGAATACTTTTTCTTTAAAAAAAAAACAACTCCCGCATTAGGAATAAGTATATAATGTGTCGCGAGGGACTTCACAAACATACATGAGACGGACACAAAGAACACCCAGACTCAGAACAACAATTTGTGGATCACACAAAGTGTAGTCCCATGTGGGGATCGGACCTACAGCACTTAGCGTAGTAGTAAGCTTAGACAACTACGCCACCCGTGCAATTAGGTCTCACAGCTCTTATAAGGAAAATTTCCAAGTTACTTTTTTTTAAAGCCATTACCAGAAATATTGTTTTCACCGAGACCTCAAATTAAGAGCAAAAAAAGTTGTCAAAATAAATTTAATAAAAATCATACTAATACAAAATCTATGATATGCCTTTGCCGATCTACAGCCGGCCGTTTTCAAGGGGTTGAGTTGCCATGAGTTTGATTCAATCATCTAGATACAATGACATCATTAAATATATAATACCACAGCACTGTTTTGATGTGTTCCTGTATGTCCGCTATTAAGTTCTTTAGTTGCTTGTTTCGGAGGCTGAATCACTCCCCTCCCTAAATCTAAATCTGGACGGCACGTACGTTCGTTTGCACTCTATATCATAAAATATATAGACAGGTACTATCATAAAGACCTCAAATTATGAGCATGTTTTATGAGTCCTAGATACTGACTTGACCTTTTGTGGGTCATAGCAGTTACTGGTGTGATGTGTATGTTACGTTATGCTGTATAGTTATATTGCAGAAGTGTGATATCAATATTTTATATATTATATATTTTCCAATCAATATTTTTTTAAATTTTTAATTTTTTTCCTTATATATATATATGTGTATGTGTATGTATATATGTATGTATGAGTATGTATATTTAACAAAACCTCTATTGTTTATTACCCTACCGTAAATGCACCTACCTCATTCTTTCTCAGCACCGCCCAATCGGTCGACTGGCAGAGAATGCCTTGGGCATTAAGTCCGCCGATGCATGTACTTGTGCAAAAAGTTATAAATAAATAAATACATTTTCGTGGTGGTAGGTGTATCAGTAGGTTTTATCTATTAATCTCAGAAAATAATAATGCACACAAGTGTTTATATATATTGTATTCTTAATTTTAGAATGATTGTTGTTTAACGTGTCTTGTACGATAAATGAACAAATGAATATTAATTTCAAATTGTTTGGCTATGATCATTAACGGTACAGTATTAATATTTTATTTCTATCTACTATCTACTGAGATCTTGCCAACTTAATAATAGTATTGAATTATAATAATAGTAGTGAGCCTGCCCATATTTTTAATACTGTGTACCTAGCTTTAGTTGTAAGATCAAATACACATGTCTGAATCTTAATTCCTGGGAAGACGGACACCAACGTCTAAGATACAGGATTAAGACGTTAGAGATCATGGATTATTTATTTATTTACACATCATGCACATTTGGTACATTGGCGGACTTAATGCCTAAGGCATCCTCTACCAGTCAACCATTGGGTGATGCAGAGAAAACAGGAAGTACTCGTAGGTGCATTTTAGTTACAGTTGATTTAGACATTTAATATTACATGTATACTTTGTACAAAATCATATAATATACACACATATACGAATCTGTCATATACTACACCTATACATATTAATATTACACATAAGTACATGTAAATGTAAACACCTAGGTAATAAGTACATCATAACTATGGTCATATGTTAAAAATCAAATGTCTTATCGTGGTGTTCATTTTGGTATCAATAAAATATTATTATTAGCTAAATTATGTTGTTTATAGATGTGTTACATTTGATAAGATACGTATGTATGTATCAACAATCTTTCTGCAATATTATCTCTTTGACATGTCAATCATAATAAAATCTTGTCTAGACGTTATCCTCAGAAACCCTGTTACTCCACTCCTAAGCGCGATTATCTCTCTGTTTTTTACTCTATCATATACAAAAAATATTATTTAAATATAAACTAAGTTAGCCATAGTTCCAGAGATTAGTGCGTTTAAATTAAAATACTATGTAGCTTTATTTTATTAAGTATAGATTTCGTAAATTTAACTCATGGTTATGTCTTGTATTATACTCGTAGACGACTTTTAACTAAACAACATATAAATCACAGAACTTCGGGTTGTTCCGTCTTCATCCCACTAAATCTCATCCCACTACCTTATTTTCTTCACTGATCTTAGTTTTTATTTCTCATTCATACCCGACATTTTTTCAGACATTTTTTTTATTTTAACTGATCCCATTTTGTTTAATTTGCTATTCTTAACTCATCCTACACCAAAATTCTCTAATAAAAACACAATTTGTGAGGACGGTTTGCAAAAAAATTAAACGACCGTGAAAAAGGAGGTTATTAACACCTTGTTGCATTGAATGACGATTCTCAAAATAAGAGGTAGTCACAACACCTATTACCTGCCAAAGTGTAAAACCAAACTTTTTTTTGTTTAATATTCTACCACATTCACACCACGCCATCTAGTCCCAAACTAAGCAGAGCTGCACTATGGGTAGTAGACAACTGATATAAATACATATATACTATTTTTGGAACTACGTACATATTATACATAGAAACACCCAGACCAAATCAAACAATAAATGACTATGAACTTGAATTAATGAACTATTATCGGACATCAAAATAAGCACTTATTTCTATAGTATAGTATATTATATTAATAGTGTCATTGGAAGGTTGCTGGTACTTATAGCTCAGGCGTTACCTATTTTAAGTGCCAGCCGAACATGTTTTGTGATGTATAATATACATACCTATATGCTTGTCAAAATAGTTAACATTGTAAAATAATTTCTCATTAATCGGTTGTAATAGAGGAGTTCTGTGATTAGCCCGCCTACTTTTTTTTGTTGACGGGTTGGAAATACCCTTTGTCTCCTGCTCCTTGGGTACTCAGGAGCCGCTGATTCCACTAAGAACCACCCAGGCCGTAGGCGCCTACTCTAGGAGGTCCTGGACCATGTTATTTTACTTAACAAGTCACATATATATATACATAGGTATAAACTTTACTTAACAAGGTGCAGGTAGAAAAAAGTTGGATAGTCTTTGAACTATCTTAAGAAGTTATTCTAATGAAAGGGATTATTTCTGTCTCTCACTCTGTGATGATTCTCTCTTCTATTTTATCAGTATTCATGAACACTGGAACAACACTGAGATTTTTCAATCATGATACGCCATGACTAATGACCAAGCTCAACGCCAAATATAATCTGTTTCGAGTGGTCCTTAGCAGTAGTTACTTTTCCCCTATTCAACTTTTTTTCTTTTTTTTTTGTGTACAGTACGGATTGCTTTGCCGTTAACACAATATATAAAAAAATATCCAGGACTAGTGGTTCCCCCTATATAACCGACATGTTTTTGCCGACATTCTTGCAATTGAAGTGGTTACTGAACCACTAGACCAACAGGCCCATCTGTATAAAATTATAGTCTTACAAAACTGGGGTAACATCATTATTAGTCCCAAATTAACTCTGGCGCAATTTTTGTTGCAATAATCAAGATTGTACTAAGTGTCTAGAAGTTTTAAGTTACCTCTGAAAATGTTTTTATTGATCTAGTAATATTCTTGTCTAGCTCTGTTATTTAATGATATCATTATTTCAGTTTTAGCTCAATTGAAGGCTATCAGAATGCCATTAGGTGAATGTGTATAAGTCTACACATATTAAAGGAAGAGGTGGGAGATAAGGGGGGAACATATTTGTTTTTATGCGATGTGAGTTGCATGCTTCCATGGACGACTGTAGCCACTTTCCATCAGATGACTTGTGTACTGGTTTACCCCTATATTTAACTATAGTTCAATTCTACCAAGTTTGTACCTCAAATAAATTATTGTTATACCTGCTAAATCCATACCTCTTGTCTTGTCTTGTCTTGTCAAATAATTTGCCAAGTCTTCAAATTTTAAAGTCAATTTTCTTCTGTCTTTGTTTCTATAACAAATGTTAATTTGCTTAAAACTATGCTAATTCATGAAATTGAGAAAATATCTAAGGTCAATAAACGTAATATTGTTATTAAGTTTCTCAAGAGAGAACATCAAATATTATGAAATTAATTTCAGAATACGGTTCAAAGTTAAAGTACACCGGCAAGTAACAATAATTCGCTCGAAACCGGTACACAATGCAGACTCCATTACGAGCGTTTTCGATATTGAAATTCGAACTTAAAAGGGAAAGTTATAATTAAAGCATTGTTATTGTTGTAGTAATGAAATACATTAATATTCTTTATGTATTTTGTAATTCTTGTTTGATTTTGCAATCAACGTGGATTTGGGTCGCAACCACTTTTGGGTAACCCATCTTTTGAAGTGTTATCTGGAATTTCTCAGTAAATGATTTAGTTTACTCTGAATAAAGACTCACTGTTCTGTGTTAATTTGTGCGGTACAGTCTGTTCACATTATGCTGCATCGTGGAATCTGCTGAAAGTACTGTCCAGCGGCAGCGCCCTGCCGTCATTTTCTCCTGTAGAGTTGAAAAAATCACAAAACGTGTTCAGTAAACGTGTTCACCCTTGTGTACCGCCTCATTAAGAGTTAAAAGTGTTGCATTTATCTTAGGTTTTTGAAGCATATGGTATTTTAATGTTTTTAACCTGTATGGGAGGCGAAGTAGTGAAAAATGCTCTCAAAATTCTGAAACAACATTTTTTTAAAGATACTAGTTTTAATAGCTTATATTATTCATCTCTATGTACTTTGGTAAATTCAGTTAAGATTGGTTGGATATTAGGCACAACATGGGAAGAATTAATTACTTACAGAAAATACAACATATGCATTATAATAGGTAATTTTTTTCAAAGATCTATAATAATTCAAGGAGCAGAATAATTTCAATCTGACGAAGGGATGGATAAATTAAAAGTGCGTTCTTCATTCTTTCTCTCCCCACGTTAATTAACGGTTCCTTAATGACTTGTTTATTTGCCTCAAGGTTTTTCTCGCCACGATTTATGTATGACTTAAATAATAGGAGTCACGGGAATTGCCATGTATGTGACTTTATTCGCAGATTTAAACACAAACTGAGTATTTTTGCGTAAATTCTACGTTTATGACTTCAAACAAATTGAAAAATGGTGTAACGTTTCTCTAATCTGTAATTCTGATTTTAATGAGTTCTTGCAACTATCTATCTAGAATAATTATATCACAATTGTAATGTAGGTAAAGTAATACATTTTCATAATTTAAAATTAAGACTGAAGTAATAGTCTAAGAAGTATTAAGTATATCCCCAAATGTTAAAGAAAAGGGGGTACTCCCTCCCTAAAATGCCGACTACGCTCTTGTGACTTTTGAGTTGTAGTAGTTCACGGGTGGTGGTAGTCACTTTCTATCAATGAAATACGTAACTTCAAGCGATAGCATCTACTTTATTATATATTACTAGTTTTGCCTGCAACTCCGTCCGCGTGTAAATCGGTTATTGCGGTAAAAATTAGCCTATGTTACTCGATGATAATGAAGCTTTCCATTCGTGAAAGAATTATTAAAATTGCTTTAGTGGTTAAGGCATGAAAGCGTAACAAACACACTCCCTTTCACATTTATCATATTAGTATGGATATGTATACTTTACTACGTACATAAAACTGCAGAGTATATAATTAGAGAGGCCTGTGTTTATAATTTAAAAAGCTTTAATATTACTTCCTACTCTTCTTCTAACATTATAAATAAATATTTCCAGGTATGCATGGACAACCACTATTTAATTCTGAGGACCGAGGTATACCGCTGACGGAGCGTTTACTCCCATCATACTTGAAAGAATTGGGTTACAGCACGCATTTGGTGGGTAAATGGCACGTGGGAATGTCTAGAGAAGAATACCTACCGACCTCTCGCGGCTATGATTCTCACTACGGTATGAGAGGGGGATACGTCGACTATTACACATATAATAAAGTTGAAACGGTAAGTGAACCCAATCAAGAGGTTCTATACTTAACAACAGCAATAGAAATATCTATTTCTTTGTAGCTAGCAAACTAATGTTATACTCGTAATAATAACTTGACGTATTTTATACACGGCTATCTGCTCCCAAACTAGATAGAGCCTGTACTATGTTAACCAGACTACTGATAAACACTCCTATAATGACATCTATTAATATTATTAGATATCATGGATGATTTACATACCATCGCAAGAAAAATGATCCTGCTCATTTTAAAATTAGTTTAGATGTAAATCGAATCTACGACCTCTAGCTCAGCAGGTAGGATCACCAACCATTGAACCAGCAGGCTAGTAATTTAAATAATGATTTAACCGTTAGAAAGATATTAATCCTGTATTATTGCCTAAAAGATTTTGTATTTACATGTGGGTGCTAAATACCGTAACACAAAATCAACAGACTTATTGCAGTTAACAACCCGGATATATTGCAGTTACAGTGTCTTAGAATTGAAAGTAAAGTTGTATATTATTGTAAATGCAAATAACATTGCAAGTTACTAGTGCATAGGGCTAGTGACGAATTGTCGTGACATGCAGGGCAAACAACTGTTTACAAAGACAGCTGTATATTTTAATATATTTTTTCCATGAATAAAATATATATTCTGTTTTACTTATTTTACGAACCTTGTAATGATACCAGAATGCATCATTACGTCTTTGGTACCGATAGTTTTTTTCCTGCCAACTGCACGAATTATAAGGGCTATCGCAAAAAAATGGAAGTACACATAATGTAATACAAACGATATTTTTCTTATAGCAAAATGTGCTTTCGTAATGTTTCGTACTACTCGTATGTACGGAGAGTTCTTCTCCTGCCAACTTTACGAATTATAAGGGCTATCGCAAAAAATTCGGAGTACACATAATGTAATACAAACGATATTTTTCTTAGAGCAAAATGTGATTTCGTAATGTTTCGTACTACTCGTATGTACGGAGAGTTCTTCTCCTGCCAACTTTACGAATTATAAGGGCTATCGCAAAAAATTGGGAGTACACATAATGTAATACAAACGATATTTTTCTTATAGCAAAATGTGATTTCGTAATGTTTCGTACTACTCGTATGTAAAATTGTCCTTAATGTGGTACTGCCCAAACACTGTTATTACATTATGTTTTAAATCGAGTAATTAATTTGCTTTACTATAACTGAAAATCTATTGTCAAAAATGAACTATCCGTGTCGCCGTAGTTTAATCGGCAATTAATTTGCATGCCTATTATATGCCATCGTAAGTTAGCACTGTTTTATTGTAATATTATATTAATTATGAACCTGAACAAATAATATTCATTATAAGACACAAAGTCTGTTTTTAGTTGGGTTTGGCTTCTGTAAGCTCTCTCACTAAGTGAAAATAATTGCTGAACACCGGTTTTTTGCGAGGCCGTGGTATCACTCCGGTCGAGCCGGTTAATTTGTGCCAAACGGTTAAGTTGCCTTAACTTGACTTAAGATCATAAGTTTCCAAGATGGGGCAGGGGGCGTCCATAGTAGTCCTCTATCGCGTTCGGTCCTGAGCTTCGCACTTGACCTCAGTCCACGTCTTCCAGATTCTCTTCACCTCAACTGCGACAGTACGTCGCCAAGTTTGCTTTGGGCAGCCACGCTTACGTTTTCCTTAGCGGGTTACAATCCAGTGCCTCTTTGGCGATATTACGATCGGGATCCCTAAGCAGAGTGTGACCAATCGAGTTCCACTTACGGCGCTTGATCTGATGTTCGATCAGAGATTCGTGGCAGTATTCAAACATTTCTTTATTAGAGATCTTCTCAAACAAATATATCCCAAAGATTTGGGGAAGCAACGGTTAACGGAGACCTGGAACCTATGCGAGACGGCTTTTGTAACCTTCCTCGCGTCACACTCATTAAAAAAAATTGTGTTCAGGTTAAGGTAAAAACAACGAACTACTATAATAAAAAAACGTCTATTATTAAGAACGTTTTGGGCAGCCTTAACTAAACACATGTGATTGTTTTGCAGTGGCCAAATGGTCGTCAAATGTTCGGTTTGGACTTGTACGACGACGGAGTGCCGCAAGATTCGGAGCAGCGATACATTGTTGATGCATTAACCGACAAAGCAGTTAAAAGTAAGTTTCATAAGTATTGTGCATTGCGACATTCTGTTAATGATTCAACCATGGTAAATGCACAAGTATATTTTTTGTGTCGGAAACAGTTTCTATAACGTAAAGTTTGGCAATACTTTAATAATACTGAGTAGGGTCATTGTGTACTTTTTTTAAGTATTTACAAAATTGTACGTGACGCATAAACCGAAATGATCGTGATTTTTAACTTTAAAAGACAATACTTTTAAACTGTTTTTGCTATACTTTTCATTGATGCTCGACTCCTATTGGTCTTAGCCTCTTGTATAACATATAGCCTTACTCGATAGATGGGCTATCCAATACTAATATAATTTTTCAATTCGAAACAGTACTTACTAAGATTAGCGCGTTCAACCACTAACTAACTTTTCAGTTTCATAATTAGTTTAGTATAGATATTTCCATAGTTAGTGCAGTGGTTACGTATGCGACTGCTGTGCTGAGGTCTCGGGTTTGATTCCCTGGTCGGATCAACTGTTTGTATTATCTGCAAATATTTGTTTAGGCGTTTGTGTGTTTTCTTTATATAATATGTATGTATTTACGAAAAAAAGTATATAAGTATTCTATCAGTCAATCTAGCTTTCATAATACAAACTCTGTCTAGTTTGAAACTAGATGGCTTTGTGTGTTAGATGTCCGAAATATTATTATTATTTGTGAAATATTATTATTATTTTAAATTGTTAAGATTAGGCATAGGATAAGATGCCTTTTCGTCTAATGTTTAATTATTAACTTATATTATATTTTTACTATTAAAAATTATCAGACAGTCATACGGCAAATGACTGTGCACGAACACCAGTGATGTTGATCTTTTACCCATCTGTACAAATCTTGGCATGCGCCATAACGGGTCATACATCCTTTTGGCCCGGTTTATTTCAGGCCGACAGAATTTTCAGGCTGTAGAATTATCTAGAAACTCTAAAGACTTATTCATTGGACTTATCTTTCCTACTTGAATATAGTAAAGTATCGATTCTAAAACACAGATCGTACCCCACAACGGATATATATATATATTTTATGGTGTAAGGGGTAAACGAGCAGAAGGGTCTGATCTGATGGTAAGCAACTACCGCCGCCCATGGACACCTGCAACTCAAAAGTCCGCTCGAGTCAGCGGGAGGGGTGATTTGGGCTCCGGTAACCTCACTCAGTGAAAGGCAATGAAAGAATTGCTTAACAGCATTTATTTAATTAGGGTTCACTAACAGTTGTTACAAATGTAATACAGATAGGAAAAAACACGTATTTGTGTCTTTCATCTAATTTCTACTTAAATTATAGATAATCATATAATTTACTTGCAGTTATCCACTATCATAACTCATCTCGGCCGCTGTTCCTGCATGTGACACACAACGCGCCTCACGCCGGGAATGACGGTGGAGCGCTGCAACCTCCGCTGTACTCCCATGTAAAGCATAATCATATTGCCAACCCGAATCGACGACTTTATGCAGGTATTTTGCGTTAAGTTATTTGTAAAACTCTAAATATTTTTAATTTTACTGGTATGATAAAGTCAAAGCATCAATATTAGGTATGGCCGAACTAGTCATATGCCCCTCTGGTGTGTATGGATGCACTCAGCTGTTATTTGTATTGCTTTGTGAATTGTCAATATGTGAAGAAAGTAATCTGCCATGAATATCCACTTATGCTTCACCTCCATGTAAATATTAACCAATACGCTGATATGGATATTTGCACAGAATCTATTAACAATTTCTCCCCTCCTATCATATCAGCATCAACAGTCTTGAATAGTCCACTACTGGACATAAGCCTCTCCTTAGAAAGGAGGTACTGGCCTACTATGACTGGCCAGACGGATTGGTGTAGGTTTTGTGCCAAGTTTTCCTTCTCTTTGCAGTTCTATTGTTCGGTCGTCGTTATTTATGTAATGGGTTTTTTTAATACATTAATTAGTTTGTTATTACTGTTAGAACTCGACCTGAACCATTAAAAATCTTATTCTTTACAGAAATTGTGACCCACATAGATCGAAGTGTTGGCAAAATTGTCCGAGCTCTTGCAGACAAACAAATTCTAGACGACACCATCATAATATTTGCTTCAGACAACGGAGCCCCAACTGTAGGAGAATTTAGAAACTGGGGCGTTAATTTACCATTCAGAGGGAAAAAGTACACTCCATGGGAGGGTGGAGTTAGAGTGCCCGCGTTTATATTTCATTCTGCACTCAGACCTAGAGTTTGGCAAGGTCTAATGCACATTACCGATTGGTTACCAACATTGACAGCCGCAGCGGGGGGCAACGTGCCTTCAAACTTAGATGGAGTAAATCAGTGGGATGCCATTATCCGAGATAAGATGTCGAAACGATCTGAAGTCTTAATTGCCGTTGAAGACAGTGCTACAAATGCATGGGCTGCATACAGAGCGGGTGATTATAAAATCGTTGTTGGAAACGTTACTGGTGTCAGTAATGGTTATTATGGAGCTGAATTTTTGGTAAACAAAAAGACCCCACCGGAATATTATTCTTCTTTAAGATGTTGTGAAGTTGCCACATCATTCGAAGAAATGGGTATATTTTTAGATTTAAAAGAAGTAAGGACAAGGAGGAAAGAAGCTACAATACAACAAGAAGATACTGAAAGAGATCCCACACCATGTCTGCCTTCTCCAAGTAAGTTAATGTCCTGCAATGGTCCCACATACTTTGTCTCTCCAAGAAATTAATAAATAGGACTTCTAATTCAATGGATGAATTTATTTTGTGAAATTTGTGAAAGTTTCTCGAACTTACAGACAGTAAACAATTCATTTAATATTTATATTATATATTTTTGTTTCATATTTTTGACAGAGATTTGTCAAATTTTGTGAAACTTTAAATATAGCGTTTAAACAGTAAAATTTACCACAAAAATATTACCAAAAATAATCGTAACACTTTTTACCTCATATAATCTTGTATAATTTGCATAATATAAATTCAAGACAAATTTAAACAGAAGAAAGGTCGTTTTTAGACAAGATCCCTAAAAACAAAGTGGGCAGATCATGATATTAATTTTTAGAATTGTTTAAAACCGGAAGAAGCCTGATGCTATATGGATTTTTTTTTTATTTTAGCTCGCGGATGTCTTTTCAACGTTCGTCGAGATCCGTCAGAAGGGCACGATCTATGGGCACGAGCAAGCAAAATTGCTACCTTATTGACAAGTAGGCTCAGAGGATTATGGGCGTTTCAACAACGGCGAGGTGCCCTTAACCTTAACATTCAATCTGATCCAGCCAATTTCAACTACGTTTGGTCACCTTGGCTCACACAACAAAGAGCAAACAATACTATAGTCAACTTGAAAGTGAAGCCGTTAGATAAAAAGAAGACTGATAAGTTTAATCTAGCGATAAACTTCAATCAACGAAGATCTGGAAACAGAAACACAACAGTCGCGGCGGTCATCAATTGTGATGGTACGACGGGACTGAGGAACTTTTTGTGTATTTTAAAAAGCGTGTTTTAGTTTGTATCTGAACTTCTAATTAACTAAGAAGGGCTTTAGAAGAAGAAGATACTGAGTTTGACTACTTCATGTCTTTAGCGAATAATTTAAAAATACTGTAATCTGTTGTAAAGCTGCTTGATACTTCTGTGTAGTTTTTTAACCAAGTATCATTTAATTTAATTAGCTGACGTCTGATCGACTTTATCAACATCTAGTCCAGTCAAGGTAATAATAATCAGTTAACTTTTATACTCCTTGTACTTCTACTGTACTTCTGACGTACCTCATATAAATTCTAATGGTCAATTCGGAAACTTTAAAAACCAGATTTATAAATTGCATGGAATATAGTCTTTGATTTGTTCAGAACTTGTCATTTAACGAAGTTAAAAAGATTTGTTTTCATCCTTTTCAAATTTAGCTAAAATGTGTGAGATATAAACTGAAACTTGTGAATCTTGTCTAGGTTTACCTTTGTTCTTAGGTAAAATAAAAAGTTAGTCAATAACGAGAAAAATAAGAATTTTCAAAACCTGTGTTGTTATTTATTTTAAAAAGCGTTTTTTCTCTTCTTTTTAATATTTTTTTAATTTAAATAACCTTTAAAACTTGACTTTGAAATAAAAACTGGAAGTGTATTACGGTACAGATTTGCGACTCTAACACGCAAATTAATGAAGTGAGTTGTAATTTAATTAAGGTGATATCGATGTGACTTCATTTTATTAAGAAACCCTTATAAAATTATTTATTATGTTGACTTAGTTCACAGGTAATTTTATTAATTGTTAGCAAATTATGTCAAAGTTAAGCATGTCTTGTGTGAGTCTCAGTTCCACCACTATAATTTCTACTTTCATCTGTTTTTTATTTGTATATATGGATATATCGTGTGGCAATCATGGGGTTGCCTGTGAAAGATTGCCTCGGTGCGATAATAATAATAATAATATTCATATTAATAGTCTCAAACTAAGCAGAGCTTTTACTATGAAAGCTAGACTGACTGATAGAATACTTATATACTCTATTTATAATACGTATGTAGGTATTCTAAATACGGAAACGGGAGTCCACAACCAAATATGTATGTATTTACATGTATATGTAAAAGAATAAAAGCGTTCCATAAACTAGATGGCGTTGTGTGTCAGTTGTCTAAAAATTTTATTATTTAAATAGTTATTAAAATTATTAAATGTGTTAAAATGTAGTCAGCCAGTAGGTTTCACTATGTCAAATACATCTAATACAAACATAGTGAGGTATTCATCAAACAATGGTTGCAAGTATATATTTCTTTGAAAATATATAAATTATGTTTACTAATCTGATTGTTTTGACATATATGTACATGCTAAAGTGCATGTTAAATATTTTTTAGGAAATGAGGTTAGGGGAAAACTAACCTAAAATAAAAAATAAAAACTATTGATAGTAAAACAGATGGATGTAAAATTATGTTGTCAGTGCTTCGGCTGAGCATTGTTTTTAATAGTTAATTGTTTTATACTTCTTTAAGTAGTCTTTTGTTGTTTTTTTTTTAAATGAATAAATACTTGTGATACTTTGCATTAAGAACGAAATAAAATACTAAAGTCATTGTTCTCTAATTGTTCCTTTAAAAAGACAACCCTTCATTAGGTATATATCCTGTGTCGCGGGGGACTTTACAAACATACATGAAACGGACACAAAGAACACCCAGACTCAGAAAAACAATTTGTGGATCGCACCAAGTGTCGTCCCATGTGGGGATGGGACCCACAACACTCATCGTAGTAGTAAACGGAGTGCCGCTCACTTAAACCACTACGCCATCAATGCAGTCAAAGTCATGGTTGAAAAATGTTGGAGTTATTTAGAAGTCCTTTTAGAGTGCCATGTATTTGATGTTTATTGAGTCATAAAACATCACAACATCACACATCACATCAACAGCCTTTAGTAGTCCACTGCTGGATATAGGCCTCTCCTTAGAAAGGATGTTTTGGCCTACTATACATCGCTGGTCAGGCGGGTTGGTATAGGGTTTGAGTCAAATTTTCCTTTCTTTGCAGTGCTGTTGTCCTGCGTAGTTTTCTCCCTTTGTGTTGGCATTTACGATACTTATGTATTCTTAATCTGTTACCACAAGGATAATATTTCAGGATCAGGATAATACTTCCATTAACCTTCAGGTTTTACAAATTATTTTTAAAATAATTTGTAAAACCTGTTTAAGAGTTGAGTAAATAAATTTCTCTTGGAAAACCATGCACCATTTTTATATTCATCGTCATTTTGCATCAGGTGACATTATAGAAGGCGACTACCTAGTTCTTAAATTAAAAAAAAAAAACAAGATAGCCTTACCCCCAATGAACTTCTTTCTTTGTTCCGTCTGAAAGCTATTACATTTCCGATGAGGGTCAGGTATCAGGCAGGCAGCCGGTTGCAAAAGAAACTTGTCAAACCCTTTTGCAATATTATACAATGTGCCAATCCCAAATAAAATTGCAAAACTAACGTTTCATAGGTTTTTTTTTACGGTTTTGAATACTTTTTTTGCCGTTTCACTTAGCGTAGCATGTTGAACCAATACACTTGAAAACATGAATTATAAATGAAGTCAAATCTAATTTTCTTTATTTTATAAAAAAAGCATCGCAATCGCATATAACAATATCAAAATTATGTAACAACACATAGACACAGATAATTTTTATTTTGAAATTGGTGATAACAAGGTTGGGACTCTCGTGCTGCCTCGAAACCTGGATCGACCAGCAGAGCAAAGATCGCAAATGGAACTAGGAGAGAGCTGTTTGCGAGACAAACTAAAAATATCTCTCATAAAACCATTTCATAAAAAAGGACATAAAACGGATAAAAATATTTTTAGGTCCATAGCATTACTCCCTATAATATCGAAGGTTTTTGATATAATTGTTTATAAAAGTGGCATATTCATAAGAGGTCTAGCTTTAGAATGTTTTAAATCATACCTAGGAAATAGAACACAGATAACTACGAGTATAATAGAATAAAAAAAAATGATGCCAAACTTAATAGTGTTGTATATTATTATTCCTATCTGCGATTTAATAACTTTGGAGTTCCACAGGGAAGTATCCTAGGCCCTCTTCTTTTTCTTTTCTTTGTTAATGATCTACCACAAGCAGTGAACAGAAATCGTATCTTATTCGCTGACGATACCATAATCATCATAGATTGTAAGAATGAATGATGAAGAATTATTTAATATTAATGTAGCAAGTTAATCAAGCGCAAGCGCGGTTTTACTGTGAATGTCCTCTGCTCCACCTAAGGGACATAGGCCGTTAAGCATAACTGTTACACCACTATTTTCAACCACAATAAACTAAATTCAAAAGTCAAATCTATTCGAGCCCAACAGAAATGTACCGAAAAGCAATATGAGAACGAGAGAGAGTTTCAGAAAAAATATAGCAAATTTACGCCAAACGTCAAAATGCCATGTTACACTGCTCGGAGCTAAAGCAAGTATTTATTTAAGTGTATCACTTAAATAAATACTTGCTTTAGCTACATACGATAGGACAACATTTTATTTTTTTGAATGCCCTAATGTACAAATACATTTTTTTGTCACAAATGAGTACTAATTCTACAATAATATTTACTTAAACCATACACAATGTGTAGATTCCTTTTCATATCACAAGAAAATAAGAAAATAAATTGAAGATGAAAAATCGCGCTGTCTATAAGGCTCACTGTTAACATACTGAAATTGAACAGTATAATCAAATTTAAAAAATGTTGTATCGATGTGTAGGCTTTCTAGATTGTTTATTTAGGACAGGGGGTAAACAAGAAGGCAAATCATCTGATGATTAAGTGAATATCATAGCCTATTGAAAACCGCTACTTAAAAGTCACGAGTGCGTTGTGGGCCTTTGAGGGGGGAGTACTTCCCGGTCTTTTCTTCTGCTTTATTATGGCAGGTTTAGGGTCAGAAGACAAATTTAAGTCATAACGATTTAATATTGCCTAATTTGGATATATACCAATGCTCTCGCCTATTTATTGGGTTAAACTATATGGGAAGAGAGAATATACACATACACAAAGAAACGTCATGGCAGCAGACACGAAGATAGCAGCAGAAGCGGATAATCGGGATGATGTCACAGTCTATTAGTAGTTTTTCGACGTTATAATTTTATAATAAACATTTCATTGAGACTAATCTAAGAAAGGTTTACGCATTTAATAGTTTTCAGCTCTTTGAACGACTTAGGCAACGTGGAACATTATTTGAAAAATCCTATACATAAAGTCAGTGGATCAGTGTTTACTAACCGTATTACAACAGTATAGCTCACATAACGAGCAAGTAGTCATTACGATATCATTACATATTATGCTATTATACTAAAGGATTGAAGATTAAAGACCAAAATCTAGAGTGAAAACCAAACCTAAAACAAAAACTCCATCTAGATAGACGTTATTATATTCATAGAAAGACATAAATAAATATCTGAAAATAAGCGTAATACATTTGTCAGTCATACGTCAACCTATTGGCTGGCTGCCCCTCTGTGCTGTTTTTAAAGTGCTATCAGTTTATTATTCTTTACATCTCCATAGAAATTGTTCTATATGGCTATAAAATTTTCAATTTTAATTTAAGTTTTTGACAAGCTCTGTTACAGGTATTGTGTTTTTTTTTATTTCTGTCTATTTTTAGAGGAGCTATAATTCTATCGATTAGTAATGTTAATTTGAATAAGTTTTTCAGGAATGGGGCTATCTCATATTGTGTATTGGTTGTTGACCATTAGTATAACAGTTGTATCATGTACAGTGCCTAAACCAAATATAGTGTTTATAATGGCTGATGATTTGGTAAGATAATTGATTTTTCTTTCATTGGTTAGTATTTGACTTACAGAATTTTCACCCTATTTTTCTTTTGATTTCGTAATGCCTTAAGATTAAAATAAATTTAAAATGAGTCAATTCATTTTGAATATTAGGTTAATAATAGTTTTACATCTGCTCATTCAAAATCAACATATTTAAATTTATCTTTCCAAGGCGTTTCTTAATCTGTTACGAAAGTAATCTGTTATCTAAAGATTGCAATTTTTTGTGTTTATACATGACTTTTGCATTTTTATTTAATATTTTGATGTGGTTCGTTGATGGTAACTGTAGTTTTAATTTTTAGACTGAAATCCTTGTGATTTCTTCTCGAAAAGCGATATTCTGGTATAGCCTATGTTGCAAAATGCTGTTACAGTCATCGACAAAGTTGGTTTAAACCATACTCTTCAGAGGAAGATGGGAGGACTTTGCAAATATATACATTTAACTCATACAAGAAAATCTAAATTCATCACATCATTTTTTCACTTACATAGACTGACGTCAATTCCGATGGTTTTTTATGACGGGCAAACGAGCCAGCAGGTCACATATTTTTAGGCCTCAGAGATTTCTGTGACTTCAGATGTTAATTTGACGTTCTCTATTTTTCAAATTGCATCGATTAGCCAGATTCAGTTTAATTAAAAAAATGTTCTACTGATTTCTTTTGGATTTCCTGATGGTAACTGACTATCACCGTCCATAGAGACATGCAATTAAGAGACACAAGTGCGTTGATCCCCTTTGAGTGTCCCTCCGAACTAGGGGGGGGTGATCTGTTGTTTCGGTTAGTAATATAGCTCATTGTAAACTTGTTTTTTTCAGACCAGTCAAACAAAGAAAGGGTGATCAATCATTTGACAACTAATATATCTATTTTTACACTAAGTAGTACTAAAAATCAGTAATCATACACAAGGTACTAATACTTACCTAATATTTATTTATAGGGATGGAATGATGTCAGTTTTCACGGTTCCGACCAAATTCCGACACCAAACATAGACCTATTGGCATTATCGGGTGTCGCTTTTGGGCGGTATTATAGTCATGCCATGTGCACGCCTTCCCGTGCAGCTTTTCTTACCGGAAAATACGCACACAAAACTGGTAAGTGGTTTACTTTTGGTAAGTGTTTTTTTACTCTAATGAGATAGGTAGGTAGATAATATTTTGTAGTAAGTAGTCAGTTATATTATAAAACTTCTACGTTTCCTCCGAGCCTCTTTTCAAACTAGGTTGGGGTTGGCTTTAAGTCCACTTGGGTACGGCTGAACTATCATTTTTATGTGGAACGACTGCCATCAGACTTCCACAGCCTAAGTAGACGATCCGTGGAGGTCCGTGTGGTGACGGATTAAGAATACAGAGTGTCACCACCCCTATTCATCCCGTGGGTGTCGTAAGAGCCGACTAAGGGAAAAAACTAAGCAGAATTACAGCACGCATTGTGACACGAGAATTTTATATTGTAAATTAAGAATCTTTTATTTTTTACATAGGCATGCAGGGATACCCCTTAGTAATGGCTGAAGATAGAGGAATTCCTGTTACTGAGAAACTATTACCTCAATATTTGAAGGAAGCTGGATATGCGACTCATTTGGTCGGAAAGTGGCACGTTGGTTTATCACGCAATGAATTTTTACCAACTTCGAGGGGGTTTGACAGTCATTTTGGCCACCGAGGAGGCTTCATGGACTACTACGAGTATACCCTCGAAGAAAATGTAAGCTTTTTACTTATTTATTACTTGTAAAATAAATTTGAAATTGATAACTCGTCTGACTTTTCCGTTAATGCCTGCAACTGCCAAGTCCTGGATTTTGCAGTTGCATGCTTAGGTTGCACGGTGTAGGTTTTCCGCTCTGAGCAAATATTTTTATGGTGCGCTTTAGTATATGCTATCATATGAATACTAAATGATTGCAACTTACATGACAGTTTCTTTAAATTGCAGGTTGGTCCCTTGGGAACAGTTTCTGGTTACACATTATTTAAAAATTTAACTCCCGCCTGGGATGTGGAAGGTTACATCACAGATGTTTACACAAGCCATGCCGTATCTGGTAAGATGTTTACGGATTCCTATTATTTTTTATGATTATTAAAAGAAAAAGATGAATTAATAAGTTTTTTTTCTAATTTTCAAACCTTAGTGGTTAAATATTTCTTATTATAGTAATACAGTAGTAGTAAATAACTTGAGTTAATAAAATATGAATATTTGTTGAAAGTAAAACACATTAAAATTCTCTTTTTCTCCACTGTTTACCACTTTAACTTTTGATTGATTCTTTTATAATACATATTTTTACTGTAAATAATACTATAATTCCGACTACAGGCAAATATTGACATAATTTTTAAGTACCATGCGAAAATCTCATTAGTATTATAAACGCGAAAATGTATGAGGAAGGTGTATTGATGTTTGTTCCGCATGATAGAACGGCTGAATGGACCCGGATAAAAATTGGCACAGATATATGTTCTGAGATTATCACTAAGGTTTTAATAAATAAACTAAATATTGACAAAATCGGCATAACCAGAGCGAGGCTTATTCCTCTTCTCTTACTTAAGACTGTATTCTTTCAGATCCTTAAAAATAGTGTGCAAATATAAAATTCTTTAATTGTCCAAGCAAATTTTGAATTCAATAATACAGCACTTAATTTTATGATGAAACTAATTTTTTTTTAATTCTGGTTACTCAAATGAATCAAATTTTTGTTTGGTGTTATTATTTTAAACTATACCACGATAATAACTAATAACTACGATAGCTGTATACCAAACATGTAATTAGACTCAGTTACCTAATTTATTTTATTTTACGTATGTCCAACTAAAATTGGTTTAGAAATCCTTCATTTTCAGAATACAAAACGTCATTTGAGACAAACAAATCCTACGATTTTTACGTGCTTTGGACTCAGCCCGTCAATCATCGTTATTGGGTAGAATTGTTTAAAGTCGTCCTTTATAAAACTAAAATTACAGATTTATAACAAAAAATAATAAATGAATGATGACGTAATATGTACTCATCAACAGCCTTTAATAGTCCACTGCTGTACATAAGCCTCTCCTTAGAAAGGAGGTTTTGACCTAGTTTCCTTCTCTCTGCCGCAACATGTAATGGTAAATAATAGACAATGAGTAATAAATAACACTTGCAAGAATCGATTCATAACTACCCATCTCCACGTAGTTGAGTCTTGCGAGAAACTATCGGACAAATAAACTCACGTCCCATTCATTTAAATCATCAGTATGTTTTGCTTTTTGCTTTATTCCATTTCATTACCCTTTTTTGCGATTTTTAATCACTTCGATGTAGTCTTAGCTAATGCCATCTTTCTCGGTCTTGATCGGTCTCCATTCTATTCACTTCCTGCTCTCTTACACATCTATTTCCTTTACAGTCTGTTAACGATTAACTCTTAATAATTTTCTTTCTTGGAAACTTTCCTTCTGGAAACGTTTAGATTCTTAAGCAGGCAGGAGACCGACCTTACAATCAAATCAACCTTTGCAATGTTACGTATTAGGAAAAAGGGACAGGAAGATGATGATGAACCCTTTGTGTTTTCAGTAATTCAGCAGCATGATGTGACAGCACCTCTATTTTTGATGGTTTCACATAACGCAGTACATTCGAGCAATGACGCTTCACTATTGCAAGCACCACCCGAAGATGTTAGGAAAATGAGACATATTGAGATGGCTTCTAGAAGATTATTTGCTGGTATGTATCTTCTTTAGAGTAATGTAAATATTTGTATTTTTGTTTCAACGGGAGTGACAAATTAAAACATAGTTTGGATAAAATACTATTATTAGAAGTGAGGTCTTCTCAATTTATGAAAATGTTTACGGAACAAAATTCATTTAGTTTAGACTTACTGTTGGGAATAAACCAAAAAACATGCTTTCTAAGGAGAGGCCTATGTCCAGCAGTGGACTAGTAGAGGCTGTTGATGATGTTGGGAATACTATGCAGGAAGGAGGAAATCCGTGTGGTGACGGATTAAGAATACAGAGTGTCACCACCCCTAGTCATCCCGTGGGTATCGTAAGAGGGACCGACTAAGGGAGAAAACTATGCAGAATAACAGCACTGCACTGCAGAGAGAAGGAAAACCTGACACAAACCCTATACCAACTCGTCTGGCCAGCGTAGTATAGTAGGCCAAAATATCCTTTCTAAGGAGAGGCTTATGTCCAGCAGTGGACTATTAAAGGCTGTTGATGTGATGCAGGGGTTTAGGGTTACTACAAGACTTTGTCAAACAATACACTACTCCTCAAAACCGTACATTTCTAGATGCTACGTATCCTATGTCCTTCTGTACTAGATGTACAACTAAGAAAGTAACTTCCACACAAAAATTTAATAATACTATATTTAATTAATGTGTGTAATTATATGAATTAAACAGTTTTTTTCTTATTTTAGCTATGCTCAAGAAGCTTGACGACGGTGTTGGCGAAATAGTTAAGGCTCTTTATAACAAACAAATGTTAGAAAACACAATAATTGCGTTTGTTTCTGACAATGGAGGTATGACTGGCGGCCAACATATAAATTATGCATCTAATTATCCAATGCGAGGGACCAAAATGAGTCCTTTTGAAGGAGGAGTAAGAGTCGTTGGACTCGTGTGGAGTACCAGTTTAAATAATTCAGATCATTATTGGGACGGTTACATGCATGTCGCAGATTGGGTGCCGACGTTGCTAAGCGCTGCTGGAATGGAGATCCCTTCAGGCCTAGATGGAATCAATCTCTGGGAAGTTATTAATTCAAATGAAAAATCCAAAAGGACAACAATGTACGAAATCGATGATTATACAGGATATGCTTCGATAACAACTGGAGAATACAAATTAGTGATGGGCAATATTATTGAAAGTTTCACTAAATATTATGGTTCAAATTTGCAAGGTGTTATTGGTAAGGTGCCTTTGTACAGTGATACTGTATTGGATTGTAGTGTATACAATATTCTGCATGCAATTGGACGGCCGTTTAGTATGAACAATTTGACGTTACGAAGTAAATCAATAATAAAATGCAATTCAACTTCAGCCTCTGTATGTTTGCCTACTAACGGTAAGACTTTATGCCAAATCTTTAATTATTTTTATCATAAACTGTTGGATAAAGTTTTAAGTGTTTGTTACAGACACGGCGTGTTTATACAATATTGTGAAAGATCCGTGTGAGACAACAAACTTGTCAGAGATTTACCCCGAATTAGTTCAAACAATGAAATTTCTATTACAAAAGGAGCAAGCCACAAGAATACCTAGAAAGGTACCAATGTATAGAGACCCATTAGCGGCTCCAAGTAGAGCGAATTATACGTGGGCTCCTTGGTTACCGGATTCAAATGTTCGGACTGTATTGAAAGAAGAATGTTAAAAAAACCATTTATTAAGAATTGAACCTAATTTACACTTTATAAAATATTAAATTAATTATTTTACATTTTGAGAATCAAAGGGAATAGAATGTTATTGCAACTCATCTTGTAGCTTTCGATGACAACACAGTAACACAACAACAACTTTCGTCGTAAGTATACGAGTAGTAATAGGACTTGTTTGTTCCATTTTAAAATAAGATCTACCTACACGAAGCCTACACGGCATAAGGATAAAAATATTGATTCCACCCTAACTCCTCAACTAGTCTTAACATCTTCACCTTATCAATAACCTTGGAGAGTGACCCTGGTTAGTTAAGGTAATGCGTTATTTGCGGACCGACACGACCTCCAGACTTTCAACAGAACAGCATACTTCCACCTCAGAGGTGGACATCGCACTTGGGACTCCTGATTTGCTGTTGTCAATAAGCAGTAGTGTCCTGCTCGTTTACGTCTGTAGCATAAAAAGACAGTAAAATTAAATTCAAGATTCCTGTTATTTAAAAAGACTAGCTCTTTAAGTATGATAATAATTATTAAGTTTTTTTTATTCGTTTCATGAACTGATAGTTTTTTTTTGTTTTAATGAATTTGTCATTATAATGACAAATTGTGAGTGAGGTTTATAATAATATATAAATATTATATTCGATGATGATCCTTGAGAGTTTTGTATAGAATATCAAATAGATCTCTTTGATTATCCTTTCTTGTTTAATTTTGATTCTACAAAAGTTAATTAAAGTTTATACAATGGAAAGGCAAAATGTGATACCTTAATAATAGTTCCAAATTAGGCAGACCCTTTACTATGGTAACCAGACTTTAATTTACAGATTTTGATGAACATACTTATTTATTTCTAAGTACATACATGTGTACAAGTTATAAATAAATTACACCCAGACATAGATCAAATGATCGTGATAATCATAAAATATTTTTTTCCTGGGTGGGAATCGAACCCAGGACCTCTGGTTTAGCAGTCAGGATCACTTATAACTAAACCAACATGTCAATGTCAATGTCTAGATTCCAATCAATCTATCTAAACAAATTTTACCAAACCTGCTTTTGTACGGCCACATTTTAAATTTCATAACAAAAATATCTCTAAGCATGCTTAGGTGCAGGTGCAGGTCGACTGCGACTGCTGTGCTAAGATCTCGGGTTGGATTCCCGAGTCGGACCAAATGCTTGTATGATCTGCAAAATTTGTTTCGGAGTTTTGGGTGTATTCTATGTAGGTATAATATGTATGTATTTACAAAAAACAATGTGGGAATGTGGCAATGTGGGACTCGAACCGACTAAAACCGCACGCCGTCTCAGGTACCAGTAGTCGGGGAACCAGGCGTACCCTAGAAAGGAAATCCCTGGTGCCCCGACGTACCTCGGGCCATCTACGGCGGGTAGACGACCCCCCCCCTGTGTGGGAACCCCCATGTTTCCTCTGTGCTCCCGGAGGGGCGCGCGCGCTTCGCAACGCGCTCGCCCCTACGCGCGCTTCGCAACGCGCTGCTTCTGCTAGGGTGACAGATGGCCTCACCTGTCACCCCCAGGCCTGTGCTTATGGAGGACGGAGGTCGTTATGCGACCTCCGGCGCCTGAGTCGTCTGCGGTACCTGGCCCATTCCCGAGCCAGGTGGGCCGGGAGAGTTCTAAACCTCTCCCGGTCCCGCGCCGCCATCTCCTTCGCAAGCATAACTTGCTTGCAGAAGGAGACGGCAGAAAAGTGAAGAAAAGTGGGATGAGAAACTGGGTAGCTCAAGGCCAGGTTCAAATACCTGAACCTACATATATTTACTTCCTGTCATATGATAGGCTACTAGGACAGTTACAACATCTGGCCATTAGATCGATGTAAATTATTTATATCACATAACATAAATAAGGAAAAACAGTCTAAAAAACATAAAGCGGTTGAGCGTGGTTGACCCACACACTGTTTCGCCATCATCACTCAAATATTTAGTTGGAGGCATGCACGCTCCTAATCAGTCTTAGTCTTAGTTTAGACGTCGTTTGGAAACCATAACTCCGCCTAAAGGCTAAGTTCGAGTGTATTAATCAGTGTAATGACAAGTGCTATCTTTTAGACAGGTGCAAATGCAATTTGCAGAAACTTCAAATGGTTTTTGAAACCGCTGTAAAATTTCGGTGTCTTGTTAATTAAAATTTTGACTCTTCTTGGTGATAAACGTATTATTTTGTTGGATTATGATAACAGTGAAATCACATTACGAAATCATTGAATCAATGTGCGTGGTAAGAAAAATGAAACGCATGAGCAGGAAGTGAAGAAATATCTTCGAAGCGCCCATGACCTAAAAGAGGAAGTCATCATCATTATCAATAACAAAGTTCGTTTTTTTTTCGTGTTGTGATGAGACTAGCTTTTAAATTTTCACGTTCCATCATATGTATGTTCATACACGAAACGTACCGTATACCTGTTGCATGATCGCATATCTTTAAATTAAATGACTTTCGCCCAAGTTGCCGCAGCTGTGATCACATACAGACTTGCTGATCGCGTGAGCCGATCATCATTAATAATGTACAAAACTTTTAGGTTGTAAGGAATCTGCTAGGGTGTCCAGAATGCGAGCTTAGCTATCGACTTTTCTCTTAGTTACAGACAAACAATTCTCGGTATAAGTTGTATAAATATAATTGTTGAGAAAAACGTTTGGGTCTGTAAAAGGCATGGCACAATACTAATAATACAGAGTGTAATCTCTCCTCAAAGGCCGGCAATGCTCTTCTGACTCCTGAGTTACAGGCGTTCATGGGCGGTGGTAGTCACTTTCTATCAGGTGATCTGTCTGCTTGTTTGCCACCTAAATCATAAAAAGAGGTGTCCTAATAACTATCAAGTCCACGTACCAATTTAGAAACAAACAGAATAATTTGAATCACAACATTGACAATTCATAGTATCGAAATACCAAACGTAAAATGCAAATACCCAGTATTTACCATAATGTCACATTTAAATATTATTCATGAATAGTGTTTTGGATCATTAGACTGGTTTCTTATAGAGTTGTTGACAAATGTATTGAATAATTTTGTCACACATTAATATATCTCATTTAACGGTTTACTATTTCAACTTCACGTTAAAATACAACTCATACCGTTAAAAATATTAAAACTGTTAATACTAAATTACGTAAGATGAGGTGTTAATTTATTTGAAATTATTTGCATTGAAATGGTATAACTTTCCGCCAATTGTATCGTACTTTACTGTAAATTAAAATCATTAATCTCAGCAAAAGAGGGACACCAAATCCCCTCTTATGCCATGGGCCCTGTCATGGTCCCCCCTAGTCCTTCAATCGTTGTCAACTCGGTCCTCGTACCGGTCCAGGCCGAGGTGAAGTATCTGGGCTTGATCCTCGACGAGAAGTCTCTCTTCGATGAGCACTTCTGACAGCTTGCTCCAAAGCTGGTCGGCGCTGCGTTTGCCCTTGGGCGACTTTTGCCTAATCTGAGTGGACCCAGCGTCGTGACGAGACGGCTGTCCACGGGGGTTATCCAGTCAATAGCACTGTAAGGCGGTATGGGCGGTGGCTCTGACCGCCCAGAATAGGGCGTCCTCAGAGGGTATTGGTGGTCAGAGCCATACGCGGTTACCGCACCGTGTCGACGGAGGTGGCGTGTGCGTTGGCCGCTACTCCCACGTGGGAATTGGAGGCGGAAGTGCTCGCCAAAGTATATCGGCGAACGACTGAGTTTCTGGGGGTTAGCGGCATTCGGTTCCCGTCTGAAGAAGTACGCGAGTGGCGTGAGACCGCTCGTCGAGCTACGATGGCTCGTTGGTCGTCCCGGCTGGAGACTCCACGTGCTGGTTTTGCCACCTTGGTCGCGCTCCAGCCGGCCATCGTTGAGTGGGCAGGGTGGCAGCATAGGAACTTTTCCTTTCGACTGACGCAGGTCCTTTCCGGGCACGATTGGTTCACAGTTGTTTTACCGCGGTTGAATCCTTCTGCGAAGACGTCATCTCGCAGAAGGAGGTGGCGGAGAGGGCCCGGGAGGATAATCTCGCCTAAATAGAGAATTCATCCGAAGATGGTGCCCACGCCATTGCGGGCAGGCGCTAGCAGGGCTTCAGATGTCTTAATAGTAGCTGTTCCCGGATCTCTCCCATTACAGGCGCAGAGTGGCACACCGTTTGGTTTTAGTCGGTCCGATTCCGGCACACCACCCCGCCGCATAACCCGCTTGGGTGGCGGCCCGAGGGGTTTTCCACACGTAAAAAAAGGCACTCATTGACAAGTTGTAAGGCGTTATCACTGGCGAGAGCGAAAAAAGCAGTAACAATAAACATAAGAGCTAACATCGAGTTTGTAAAGGAAGGCTCAACAAAAAAGACTTCACAAAAGCCTTACTCAATTATAAATACCGACAGTAACTGGACATTATTAGTGCATACGTATGAAAGTCATTACAGAATACTGGAGGATATCTGTGCCTCGACGTCTAGACCAAACATATTTCTTTATGCAAAGTCAATTAAGCGTGTGGTACTAGTAGAACTCACGATGCCATGGGAATCGAACATCTCTAAAGGTGGTCTTTAAAAAGAAACAAGTACTTTGACTTAACCAACGAAATTAAGACTAACAACGAAATTTCGTTAATTAAACAACGAAATTAACTAAAAAATATTATTTCGTATGTGTATGCCATGGAAGCGGGTGCGACGAGTATACTAGCTTAATCCTCTATAACCTACTTAAAGACCTTGGATTGCCAAGAGTTTCAGTAAACTCTTTTCTTGAACGAATATCAAACTCAAACTCAAACTCAAACTCAAACTTTCTTTATTTCATAAAATTTTCAAAATTGTTTGAAATCGTCTTCCATGTAGACTCTAAAGTCATAGATCAACACACACAAAAGCAACAATCTCTGTTTTGTCAAATAGTAACCAAATAAATTTAACAAAATCAAACCCATACAAAATCTATGATATGCCTGTGCCGATCTACAACCGCCCGTTTCCAAGGGGTTGAGCCTTATGAGAAGAAAGGGCAAACAAACTCATGGCCACTCTTTTGCAATTCACAAGTAGATACAATGGCACTATTAAATATATCACAACATTGTTTTGATGTGTGCTAGTATGTCCGTTATTAACGACTTAAAGGTGAAAAAACAACGAAGAGAAAACAAGATTAAGAAGAACAAACGAATACAAGAGAAAATGAAGTGAAACATAAAAAATAGAAAAAATAATAAAAAACATACTAGCCACACCACATTTTTACTTAAGAAAGAAATAGCCTGCGCTAATTAATCCCAAGCATTCTTGTCCTCCATGTAATCCACAATCGAGTAGTAGGCCCTCTGGCACAAGCCACGTTTTATTGCGGATTTAAATTTGTTAATACTCAACTCCTGAATATTATTTGGGATTTTATTATAAAATCGGACACATTGACCTCGAAAAGACTTGTTTATCTTTTGGAGCCTAGAGGCGGGTACAACAAATTTATTTTTATTTCTGGTATTTATGGCATGTACATCACTTTTTTTCAAAAAGCTATCTTTATTTTTGTGAACATATATTACATTTTCATAAATATATTGACTTGCCACTGTCATTATATTTATTTCTTTAAATTTCTGCCTCAATGAACAACGATTGCCTAAATTATAAAGTGCTCGAATAGCTCTCTTTTGCAGCACAAAAATAGTTTGAATATCGGCAGCATTCCCCCACAGCAGAATACCGTACGACATTATGCTATGAAAGTAACTGAAGTAAACAAGTCGTGCTGTATCAACATCAGTCAACTCTCGGATTTTCCTTACTGCGTATGCTGCTGAGCTGAGTCTACTCGACAATTTATCAATATGTGGGCCCCACTGTAGCTTAGCATCTAGTGTTATACCTAAAAATGTCGTAGTGTCCACAAGGTCCAGCCCGACATCCTTAATTATCACAGTAGTTTTCACTGGCTTGACGTTTGGCATAGTGAAACGTATACACTTAGTTTTTTGTTCATTTAATAGTAAATTGTTGACATCAAACCAATGAACCACTTTCGAAATGGCGCTGTTTACAAAATCGGCATTGCTAGGCTCGTATCAAATATGGTTAGGTAGAGGAGGTAACATAGCAGACAGTGGAGGTGAGGGCTGACGCGGCGCAAGGAGTACTCCCTAAACCTATTCCTGGGTCGCAATTCCCAGGCGCTGTCAAAGTCGCATGTTTTGCCCCCATTAATCACGCGATGGACCCAGCACGGTGAATTCATGGAACGCTAAGAAATAGGTCTGATATGTTTGTGTTCTTAATTCAAGATTTCAATTCTATACAATACTGGTGTGTAGGTAGTTACTAATAATATTTTGTGTACTTACCTTAGTTGTCAGTCTGCAATAAACGAGGTCAAAGCCGGGCGCGTTTTATTGAAGAGTTCCCTAAATACATTACAAATACTTTCCAATGAAGTTCATCATCTTATAATGCTTATTTATTTTATTTGTTTTTAGCATGAAAACTACTAATATTCTATTTTGTATATTCGTGTTCTCATCAACTACTACCTGTGTACTTCGAAAACCAAACATAGTGTTGATTATAGCTGATGATTTGGTAAGATTTTCCATTTATATCTGTACTAATGCGTCAATACTTATTTAATTCATGTTAAAATGTAGAAAGAGGCGTTATTAAGACCTAAGGCAAAATAGCTTTGAGCTCAATATAATTATTATTTTTGCAATCTTCTGAAATGGAGGTGCTTTAAGGACATAAAGAAAATGAAACCCTTTGCGATTCTGGTAAAAAGAATTAACTTTTCTCTGAAGAGTGCAAAGGAAATGAACCGCTAATTGGCGTTTAATTTCCATTGCACACTAATCTGGTTTAATATAATACAAAATATATTTTAATTATAGGGATGGAATGATGTCAGTCTTCATGGATCCGATCAAATCCCAACACCTAATATAGACCTATTGGCTTTATCCGGTGTCACTCTTGGTCGATACTACAGCCACGCCATATGTACACCTTCACGGTCTGCTTTACTCACAGGAAAATATTCACATAAGATTGGTAACTTATTTTAAATTACTTTTATAACTTTTAATAAGTGTATTAGTAGATTATGTAGATTGTTACAGTGTTATGTGTAGGGTTGTTACATAGTATGTAGACTGTCGATGGAATGTCGTCGCAATAGTTTTGCACTTTTCGTATTCTACTAACTATGTATGACCAATAGCCAGTCTTGTCACTGAACTACCACTCATACAAATGTCGTCGATGTATTTGTAATAGTTTGGTATACGGTACGCTTTAAATTTGTAAGGAAATGATATATTTAATCTTCCAGATATGGCAATATTGTTGATATCAACATTGATGAGCCATTGTCACTACACCGACAGTTTATGGCCACTGTAAATTGATGTGAGTAGGATATCGATAATTTGACCGATGTCACTGACATCTCAATGGCATCTCAATAGCGTGTTAATGGAATGACAGTGGCGTAACGTTAACGTACAGTTAACATAAATGTCTGTCTGATCTCAAACTAGGCAGAGCCTGTACTATGGGCACCAGATAACTGATTAAATTAATTACATCCAGATACAGATCAAATATAAATATTGTATTCCTATCTTTAATAGAGTTCTACTAAAGACAGGAATACAATATTTAGGAAATTTAAAACAAAGATTTCTCATAACCATGATGTCACTTGAGAAATGTATAATAAATAAGGAATAAAACACAATAATTTTACAGTTTCCAATCAGCTCAGATCTTGGAGGCTAAGCTTTAAGAGCACATATAACGATTGTATTTACCTTGTCATGATTTGTATTTGTTTCTTTTTCCATATCTTTTATAAGTTTTAAAATAACTAAAACAGATTGTGGCTTAACCATGTTTCGTCCTCAATCAATAGTTTATAAGATTTTTAGAACGAAAGCTATAAATTTGTTACTAGAGATCTCAAAAAAAATCTATTCAAATGTTGTTGTTATTTAAGCTAGAATTTGCTTGGCGGTCGAATTTCGGCTATATCGAATGTCTTGTTTTATTTCCATCAGTATAACTTCAACTGCTACTGTATTGGGGTTTTTATCCAGACAAGTAAAAATGTATACTGGACCCCTGTAGTTTCCCGGAGACGTTTTTACGTAATTTTTTACTTTATAGCACTTCTTGTTTGACAAGGGGTACAAATAATTTTCTACAAATATTACCGTATAGAGGTGTATAGTACTGTATAGAGGTAAGGTGAATTATTATGGTATAGTTGGCGACAGTAAAGTTAGTATTTCTATGTATACAGAAATATATAATGTGCATTGGGAATGCTTTTCTATCAAACAGGTATGCAGGGGTACCCAATATTGATGAGCGAAGACAGAGGTATTCCGATCAGTGAAAAATTACTACCTCAATATTTCAAAGATGCAGGATATGCGACTCATTTAGTTGGTAAGTGGCATGTTGGTGCATCACGAACCGAATACTTACCTACTTCGAGAGGATTCGACAGCCACTTTGGCCACCGAGGAGGTTTTATGGACTATTATGAGTACACTATTGAAGAAACTGTGAGTTACCTTACAATTGTTAAATTCATCAACTTGAATTTAATTTATTTTAACTTAATACTTATTTTCAGTACAGCCCCGTCGGTACAGTTTCTGGTCTACCTTTGTTCAGAAATTTAACTCCTGCGTGGGATGTCGAAGGTTACATCACTGACGTATATACCAGTCATGCAACATCTAGTAAGACATTATACTCGTACAAGTGTCTATGTGTAATTTCAAAATAATAGGTTTTTTTCATGCTTTTTTTTTCAAACCAGATTTTTTGTCTGTTTGTTCCGGGTAATCTTCTAAACGGCTGAACCGATTTTGATAATATTCAACTACCAGGTAGCTGTCAATATAAGGAGTAACTTAGGCTGTTTTTTCTTTCAGAAAAACCGTTAAAAATTTTGCCTGGTTCTTGAATCGAACCCACTAGGGCTGCGCTTTTCAAATTCCACGCGAATGAAGTCGCGAGTACCAGCTAGTTTATAATATATACAAGAAACAATTTGTGTCACCAGTGTTATTTGAATAACATTCAATAATAAAAAATATAATACTTGATTTCAGTTATTGAGAAGCACGATAAGACATTTCCTTTATTTCTCGTCGTGAGTCACAATGCGGCCCATGCCAGCAACGAGGCTTCGATATTACAGGCACCACCCAAAGATGTTAGAAAAATGAGACATGTTGCTATGACGTCCCGACGTATATTTGCAGGTATAAACTCACATTCGATACTCATGTGTGAAAAGAAAAACAATAAAAATAAAAATGTATCATTTATTTCCTCAAATTTGTAATTGTGTCACCGATTGAATGTTTCAGCTGTGGTCAAGAAACTTGATGACAGTGTCGGGGAAATAATAGAGGCTCTTTACCACAAAGGAATTTTAGAAAACACCATAATTGTGTTTATATCTGATAATGGAGGCATGACCACGGGAGAATATCATAATTATGCTTCAAATTATCCATTGCGAGGTCTTAAAACCACTCCTTTCGAGGGTGGGGTGAGAGTAATTGGACTGGTGTGGAGTACCAGTTTAAACAACTCAGATCATTATTGGGACGGTTACATGCATGTGTCAGACTGGATGCCAACGTTGTTAACTGCTGCAAATATCGATGTTCCCTCAGACCTTGATGGCATTAATCACTGGGAAAGCATTACTTCAAATACACCATCCAAACGGAAAACAATGTACGAAATTGATGATTACACAGGATACGCATCGATTATATTTGGAGACTACAAATTAGTGACTGGCAATGTTATAGAACGTTATAGTAATTACCAGGGCTCTGATTTGCGAGAAATGATCGGCAAAGCGCCATCGTATACTGATGCTATATTGGGCAGTACCGTGTACAACATTTTAAAGTTACTTGGAAGACCATTTTCTATTACTGACTTGCATTTAAGAAATAAAACAGTAATTGAATGTAACTCAACCCCTATTAATATCTGTTTCCCTGCTGATGGTGAGGATTTTAATAAATTAATAAATATTTCGGACATCTGATACACAACGCCATCTAGTTTCAAACTAAGCAGAGCTTGTACTATGAAAGCTAGATTGACTGATAGAATACTAATACACTTTCTTTTTGTAAATATATACATATTATACACATAAAACACACAAATATTTGCAGATCACACAAACATTTGGTCCGAACCTTGAATCGAACCCAGAACCTCAGCACAGCAGTCGCATACGATTCTACTGCACCAACGAGGCACCACAATACTATTATACTTTCATATTATTCTCTTCTCCCCACAGGAAACCGGTGCTAAGAAATTCCTTTTCTGGTGTTGTGTTTCACCGTGTGGGGAGGCCACACGGTGAAAGACAACACCAGAGCCCAAAATCCCTCTTTCAAAGATTCTTAGGTAAAACGGGCAATGCACTTGTGACTTTTTGTAGCTTTGTAGCTGTAGGTGTCCATGAGCGAGGGTAGTCATTTACCATCACGTGACTTATACGTTTTGTTCCTCTATACCATAAAAAAATTCTTTGTTCACATTACTATATTATTATATCAACTTCACACATCTCACACACTGCAGTCTGAAGGCTCTGCCTATTTTGGGATCAGACTGCCAATTCTCGTAAAAAAAGTTCAGTCTTAATTCTGTTCCGATCGACTTTCGACCTCACAACTGTCTCAAAAGATATTTTCGTAATGAAGTATTTAACATCCAACGCTGACTGATTGAATTGGTAATCTGCTAGTTTTAGTAATACGTTACTATTTTACTATAAAAATACCTTTTATGACAAGTTGTCAGATCGAAAGTTCATCGGAACTGAATTGTGACCGAACTTTTATTACGAGAATGGGCAGTCTGATCCCCAAATTGGCAGAGCCTCTACTATGCTGATAAACGTACTTAATATTTTTAATACATACATATTATAGATAAATTACACCCAGATACAGAAAAAATTACCGTGCTCATCACACAATATATGTTCTGGGTGGACCAAGACCAACAGACCCGTCGCATTATAAAACGATTTTGTTACAGGTACCGTATGTTTATACGACATCAAAAAAGATCCCTGTGAAACAACAGACCTATCTAAAGCTTATCCAGAATTGATGAGAATGATTAAAGTATTATTAGACACGGAAGTTGCTAGAATGATACCTAGGACATTACCTGTGTTCAGAGATCCTTTGGCTGCGCCGTACCTAGCGAACTACACGTGGACTACTTGGGTGTCTGACTTAAAGTCCTATTAACTCACCTTTCTAGTACTTTAGTTATAAGAAAGTAATATGAAATGCACTAAACATTTTTACTTTAAGATTATTTCTCATTCGTTTTGCGTTATTGCCATGTAATCGTAATAAAGATAAAAAATACATTTTGTTCAATTTAATTATTTATATTTTATATAATAATCATAAAGTATTAACACAGTTGATTCAACAACATTTAAGAATTTAAATTTAAACTATCATGTCAAAAAACAGATGTTCCATTCTGCTGTTTTTGTACGTTTTTGAAATACATCAAATGATTTAATATTTTTAATTGAAAGGGTTGGTCATTTCGTTATCAACATGCCCTGCCTTAAACAAATGAATCGATATCATTTGATATCATGAAGGACGATTCACCTTGATATTTGATTGTTGTTCATATTTGGTACGGACCACGAATTGTCTGGGACGATTAATGGATCAACGTAAAAAAAGCGATCAGACTGAATAAAACAAATTAGTATGAGTTAGAACTGAAGAATCTTGTCATTGCGGGAATCGCATGACTAGTGATGCATATTTGGGCTCTTTTTTTAATTTAAGATGGTATTTACATGTCTTTTTACTTTATTATAAATAGGTTATTCTACGGTATTCTACTGTTCTCACACAACCAAAGAAAATGTTTCCTTTCGTCTAAATTTTATTTTCGTTTAAATTCGGTTCGTGATGCACCAACATGCCACTTACCAACTAAATGAGTCGCATATCCTGCATCTTTGAAATATTCAGGTAGTAATTTTTCACTACGATTAAAATGTATGCAAAATACCATATTGCATGTCAATACTATTTAAATATCTATAATATTATATTTATACCGTACTTATTTTATTGAATTTAATACAAGCTATCTAAAATTAAAAAAGAATTAAATGGATGCGAGAAGCCGAAATTTGATCTAAGTGGGGTGTAATGGGAGAGGCCTATGTTCAGCAGTAGCAAGCGATAAGCTGATGATGATGAATCTAAATTTGTCTCATATTTTTTCTGTACGTAATACGTAAATGTTAAAGGTGGCAAACGTGCAGATGGGTCCCCTGATTCAGCGACACAAGAGACACTAGTGCTTTGCCGTCCTCTGACGAGAGAAGGGGGCGGAGGGAATCACCCTCAGTCATGTAACAGGACAAGGGACGTTGGAAATTTATAGCAAAATTACTAGAAAGTCGATTTTTAGGTGGCACTCGCTACGAAAAGAACAACTCTCTGCTTTATGGATCTCTCAGGATTATGACTCATCCTTTAAGGAAGTACAGATTTCTCTGCTCTCCTATTATGACCTTTTTAGGTTTTTAGTGTCTTAAGTTTCGACATGATTACGTCATTTTCTCATCCTTGTTGCTGTACAAAAAAGTAATTACTGTGCAAACATTAATTTGAGAGTGCCTTTCTGTTCACATTTCTCTTATCTTTCGAAACATGTAGTTTAACTTAAATTACATTATGTATGCATCATTATTTACAGTTAAAAGCAGTTTATACAGTTGGTTTTATATCAATATAAAAAGAGTATAACGTATTGGCCACGCGGTTTTGAACGTATACAGGATGAGATAAATAAGCAAACTTGGTCATCTGCACATACTTTTACAGTTTAAATAGTTACAAACTAAATTAATGGAGATATGCCCATTTTTAGGTAACCTAATCCTAATCTATAAATACCAGGTACTTAACCTTGAAAGCGAAGAATCCTAAAATTGCCCATTAACTTTACTGCCTCACTTTCGTGTCGCTTCTTAAGTTCCTACTAATATCAAAAAAAGTTCGTATGAACTTTTGTGAGCAACATTTCAAAAGCGTCCTCCGCTGGTAGACAGTCAGACAGATAATTTCCTGATCTCATCTCAACTCCTGATCTTAGACGGTGATTCTTGCACTAGATACATACATATGTATGTTATATTGTATTTTACAAGGCAGAAGGTTAATACAGTCTACGCAAATAGGGAGAGTACTGATTATGAACAAGAACGAAATATGAGTGGATCGAGGCGGCTACACTTGTTGCATCTAAGTATCATAATGAAGTAAGTATATAAGTACAGCACCAAAACTAATCAAATGAAAGGACGTAAGTATTAAATACTCGTACCAATTGTAATACGAAGCATTATATGTTAATAATGATTTGTATTCTTATTTTAAAACCTTAGTTATTGTTACTTTATTTTTACTACGAGTATAAGATCAAGACGGCCTGTATGTTTATGTCTACTATCTAAGGAGTTTATATACGTTGAATCAACCAGTAAAATGAACAGGTAGTTACTATCTGTATGCCGAATAGCTTGAAATTTGGTGGTTTTAAGGTAGGTTGCGTTTCTTTTGTTTTTAAAAAAAAAAACTGCCGCATTCGTTTTAAATTTTGTATGATATAAAGGGTAATAGTTCACTGGCTACCGACACCCATGAACACAAGGACACCAACTCAGGAGTCAAAAGTGCGTTGTCGGCCTTTCAGGTGGGAGTATGAACTTTTAAGTTTTGAGGAGCATATGAGTTCAGAAATACTGCATACAGTTTTTTGTCCATAGAACGATTTTGTGAGATAAAAAGTTTTTTGAAAGTCGAGCCGCAATTTAGTCCGGTCAAGTATCGAAAAATAAGGGTGGGCGTTTTTCACAAAAAATTACCCTAGCAAAATCGAACTGTCCCACAATTTCAAACATTTTTATTTTCATTTCTTAAATGGCACATGTGGAAGTGAAATTTTATATGTTTTAGGTAAATGTTTCAGAGTCGAATAAAATTAAGAAATATCATAAAAGCGGATAATTATTTTTTTATTTAAATAATAGCTAATTCATATAAATTTCGTGTGTCCCACGGTGCTCTCGGAGATTTCACTTGTAGTTTTTTTTTTACTTTTTCTTTAAAAAAAAATACAACTCCCGCATTAGGTATATATCCTGTGTCGCGGGGGACCTTACAAACATATGTACATGAAACGAACACAAAGAACACCCAGACTCAGTACAACAATTTGTGGATCACACAAAGTGTCGTCCCATGTGGGGTTTGAACCCACAACACTCGGCGCATTGGGAAGCGGCGTGGCGACCGCTTGAACCACTTCACCATCCGTGCAGTCACAGAATAATTAGCCTTTGAGTATCTCTAACAGTTTGAACATATTCTCTGTATGTACAAGCGTCTTTTCAGTCTTTATGTGATAAATTTATACCTATTTTCAGAAATATCATTATTTTGATGTTGTCCTACAAAAACTATAGAAAAGGAAAATCCGGTTTCTTCACGATGAATTTGATATCTTACACATAACAAAATCGTAATTTCTACTTTTTCTGCGTTCTTGTCATCATTGTAATCGTAAATGATACCGCGATTGTTGTTTTGAACGCCAGTTGCGGCAAAAACTGAGACGAAAGTGTTGGTGTCTTCGGCGTGCAGAAAAAGATTTCTGAATAGTGACATTGTTTAAAAGGTAAATAAACTCGTTTTCCTTACTATATCATATTGTATTTAAAACATAAACTAACCTATATTCGATTAGTAAAGCTCAAAACAAGTTAATTTAACTAAACATTAGTTATTTTTGTTATTTTAAAAGTTTCGTATGATCAGAACGTCACCTCCTGTGCGTCATGGGACATACTACCGTCACAAAATTGTGACGAACTTAAATTGTAAAGCTTAGTGTCCAAAATATATTTATTTTAAACCTTTAATTTAATTTTCATGTTGTAGTAGGTATTGTAAGGAGATAACAGTTGAATTGTTTGTTTGCACGTAGGTAATCTCCGAAAAAATATTAAATTACGATTCCGATAAAAAAAATAGCTGTTAAACAAAGAAAGCTACATTATTCCTGGGTGCTATAGATAGACGCCTTTTTACCTAATTTTACTACGGCAATTGATGTTAGTTCATATTATATTGAAAGCTATAAGTGGCCCTGGCCTGTTACACATTTTAGAATAACTAAGAAGTAATAACTTTCTAAGGAGAGGCCTATGTCCAGCAGTGGACTAGTATAGGCTGTTGAAGTGTGATGATGTGAAGAAGTGTTTTGGATGTCGACGAAAAATCAACAACAGTATGAAACTGCAGCATTTTACTTTGGCGATGAGTCAAAGTGATATCAGAAAGTTAATCCAGTGCTCTATCTTTTTGTGTTTTTATTTTTGTATGCATTCTATTTATGATCATTTTCCCGGGGACGAGTGTGAGGTTTGTGTATTACTTTCTCCAATAAATATTATAACTTCCTTCAAGTAATTATTATTTATCTGAGAAAGTAATTTCGTTCGTTTCATCAAAAGAGAGATGGTGCTTACGGTAACAGAAAGGGCGAAAAGATATTGCAAAAAATGAAAGCAAAAATGAAAAATTTGAAGTCAACAAAAACAGTTGGCAAGACTAAAACAAGAATCGAAAAAAAGATAATGGATTTAATAGAAGAAAATATAAACAACAAAAATTATGGAGAGATGAAAAGAAAAAACTAAAACTAAACAAATGCAATAAAGAAAACATAAAACCGATAAGGGAACCGATGGAAACCCAAACTCACGTAAGCCACTTCAACGAAGATATAAAAATTGCGCGCCAAATACAAATAATCTTGAAATTAAGTTGAAAAAGTCTCAAATTAGTACACAATTATATTAAACGTTATTATCTTTGTCGATTTAAAAATTATCCATGTAAAAAAAAACTAAGTTGGATCTCAAATTGATAATTTTAAATCTTTTTATACTTTTATGTGTGAAAAAAAAAGGTTTAATGAATCTAAAAGATTTCATTAATAATATAAAGTTAACGCTTTATTCTTTCTGATTGTGTTTTTTACCCGGCAGTGTGGACACTGCTCAAATGATTCCTGTCCGTCACGCAATTTTCGTAATAGTCACTGTCCCATATTCGGAATGGTACATAAATGGTTTTTAAATTTCTAAATATAATTTTATAGTATTTCGTTTGTCATTATCAGTGTTTTGATAATCCCA